TAGCATTGCCTTTCGGTTCAGTAAACGATCGCGCAGCGCGCGCATCGGAAACCGTTCATCTTTCTTGCCTCTCTTCTGTTCTCCGCCAAGGATAATTGATCCTTCGGTGTCCTCGTTCCATCTGTTCCCCTTTCTCCTCGTATCTCGTACCTCCGGCAACGTAACATTCCTCCGTGTTCTTCATTTGCAATGTTCACGCAAATACGCACTCTCGTCATAGACGATCTACATTAACACGTACTAATACCTATTAAGCGCGCTGTGTCGTAGGGACACACGGGAAGACCTTCCTACACCTCGGAGGCACGGCATCCACGGTCACACGCATTGTTGCGTACACGCGCATAGTTATACACCTAGGTGTACGTTTCTCGGTGTACTGTTGCGGGCCAGAAATGGTCGACACATTCAGTTCGAATAAATAATCTAGTTGGAGAATTATTTAGGCAACGGGCAACCGTTGCCCGCCATGCGCGCGATCCAACGGAGACGCGCGGCGTGCGTCTCGCGTCGCAGAACGTAAAACGGCCCTTCCACCTGCGTTTCGTGGAGAAACATTGAAAATTTGAAGGGCCCCTTACGACGAACGAATAGTAACGTAAAGTATGCTTGTAGAATATTTAAAGCAGAGTCGTCGCGGCGAGAATTTTCCGCGACCGGTTCGCATCTATCGGCGGCGCACGATACTTTCGTCCGGTCCCGTTCGAGCCGAAAACGGAAGTCGAACGGGGACCTTTCTCTCGCGCGTTTATTTGCCACCTTTCATTTCGTCGTTTGATCTCGCGAAGGTACGATACGCTTCGAGTTGACTATATTATTTAAAACTATACAATTGTAGACGAAATACACACGACTGGTTGCAAATAAACCTATTTTACATTTTTAATTGTCTCGTCATTTCCCGGCTTGACGTCTCTCTCTCCCCTCGCGCACGTGTCAGCGGCACGTGCGCGGGGCTCGCGATGAGCTTTCGACTTCCTCTTGCATCCTATTATCACGGTGAAACTCACGGACGACGTTTTAGTCGAGAAAAAGAAACACCTGTGAGTATCGATCTGTGTGGATATTCGCACCACCGTTCGAAAATACTGAAACGATTCCGATGTGTCCTGCGGTACTTGTCTGGAAGAAGAAGGAAACGAACCGTCTACGAACCCATTGCCTCTCCGATCCGTTGCATCGTCCGAAGAACCAAGTTCTCCCCGTCCATTCCGATCCCGCATTCCGGCGACGAACGTGCAAAGCGACACGACGCTGCGAGAAGTCGTGTTTCGCTGACCACGGGGAAAGTTTTGAAGTGCTCGACTGGAATTACTTGCAGGATCGTCGAAGCCGGGCGTAACCGTGATCGCAGAGGCACGAGAAGCCGCGACTCCTTCGCCCGATCCACGGACGCACGCGACCTACCCGATCAGTCTCGACGGGACACCGCCTTGGAACCCTTCGAAGACCATCGAGGATCTTCATTCGCCGAATCATCCGTGTCCGGAGTCGATGCCCGAGCATCAGGAGCCCGCGAACCTTCTCGCGGACCGGGAGGGCAGAGTTCTGCGTTCCGGTTTCCCGGGCTGCACCGGGACCACCGGGAATTCCGATTTCCCGGACGAAACGGTGAAGGGCGCCTCGGTGTACCCGCCGTTCCCGTGCCCCTTCTGCGACAGGGCGTACACCAGCTGGGGATTCCGAAGAAGACACATCAAAGCGGTCCACACGATTTCGCCGTCCCTTAATTGCAAATGGTGCTTGCAGGTACGTTCTTAAGAGTGCACAGTCGCCGAGGAATGAGGCGTTTACAGGCCGAACCGACTAACTTCGTGTTCCGAACGTTTTGAAATGTAATGAAACACTTGAAGGGTTTACGTGTGTAATTTAATCAAATTCCTCTAATTCTTAATTTGTAGAGATAACCACTTTGGCAAATGAATGGTTCATGTAGCGAGATCGTAAATTATACCCTAGAGAAGTGGTACCAATTGATGTTGCCGCACCGCGGACCGTATCAGAGTTGCCGATCACTGTTCCGAGACCTAATGAGATCACATTTCTGTTAATTCACTTGTCCCGTCGCTTAGAACACGTTTATTTTAACGCCTGACCGATTTTACAAGCTCGTTATATCTCGGCGACAACTATATCGACACGCGTGTCCGAAATATCAGCGATTGAACGAGGGATCGTGTTGCAGGTTCTGCCCACGCATGCGGCTTGGAGGCGACACGTGATACTGGCGCACAATCTCTCGGCCAGAGACGCGCACAACGGTCTCCTGATCTTGGAGGAGGCGCACATGGTGTTGCAAATCGCGCGTCCAACCAGGCTAGACACTTTAGTCAACATAATTAAGCAAAATTCCCAGCAGAACAGCAATCAGGAGAACCCTCAATCGGATAAGGATTGAGGACGCTTCGCGGTCTGTTCGTCGCGCGGTTGGGTTACGTTTCTGTAGACGGTTCCGGAAGCAAAACTGTTCATCGCGATTGATGCGCGTCGAATGGCATTCGATGTGCAACAGGTTTTCATTTTTATATCGTATATTTATTTTCTCGAAGAATCGCTTTGTGTCGCGAGAGAGCGCAGCTCGCGATCCTAGGAGCGACACGATACGATTCTCCGATGGTCCAGGTTACGTATTGCGATTATAGCTACGAATCGCGTATTAGAAAAGTTGTTACTGAAAGAAATGGGAGCATTCTCGACAAGTGCCTTGTCGCTCGTCCCTTCTCTTTAACGTTTTATACATGTATATTGTCGTTATATTTGTACATACCGCTTTTATAGTCATCACCTATGGCCAGTATCGCGCTGCGTTGCGCACAGTATTTTTTATTGTTGTATTAACAAGAGTTTTATATAAAACGAATAAACGTTTAACAGCGTGGCAAGGGACAGTCTCGTTAGTGATGGAGGAACGTCACCAGCTGTGTCGGATGTTTTAAGTCGTTTATTTTTTCAAAATATTCTTGACAGTATCGTGCATCAGTCGACTGACATTTTTTATGAATATTTTCTCTCGAAAAAGTGACAGGAGTTTCGTGCTTTCATTGAAATCGACTCGTGCAGGGATGTAAATTTTTTTTTTCATTGATCTCTCGCAAGTCCGTTACGATTACGGTTCGATTCCGTTTGACAAATGAATACCGTTGCGTGCGATAAAGCGGTGTGAAAAGGGTTGCTAACGATTCATAACGTGAATTCCGAAGAATCTCTTGCTTCGCAACGGTCGCGCGACGTGCACGTTCGCTAGCCTAATCTCCTCGAAATCGTTTTTATTCGGGGTTCCCCTGTTTCTATATCCGATCCGTGTCTCGTTTTGTATGCGTTTTGAACGTCGGTCGCGCGATTTCGCTTCGTTCGGCCAATCCGTGGAAAGAGTGATCGAATGTTCGCGTCGGTAAGGAGTATTGCTAACTGTTGGAGAAACTTGGCGCGTTCTGAATGGAAAACGTTCGATGAGAAAGATTATTGTACATTGGACAGAGAGGCACCGGCGTCACGGTTTCTCGAGGTACGGAAATTACAAAAGAGGCTCACCGGCAAAAAAGATCGCGGCGATACGCGTTCACTTCTGTTTTTCGTCTTTTTATAAATCAGAAAAGAAAAGCAATAGAAAATATATCGTATGTACATATTTTGTGGATAAAAAGAAATTCTCTCCGAGTCAGCAAC